GTAAGTTCTTAGCTCTAGCGTTTAAAGAAACATTTTTTATCCTCTTCATCATACTCTTCTTTAGGTTTTGAGATAACTTTTGTGGGCCTATAAAAACAAAAATCAATGACCTCCAAAATATTATAGCCTATTGATTGTATGTGTATCATCATTCTACCTGTCCAATAGTTATAATATGTAACATCAAAGAAGGGATGATGAATTGTAGAATGCCCTCAATATTTTAAAAATTAATGTTAGCCATTACTCAAGATTGTAAAGTCTTAAAAAATGGGCAACTTACTCTATTATCAATCGAAAGCTTGAGAATAACTAATCAAGAATAGGTAAAATGGATTTATCCAGCAAGGATCAAGGGGGATCTCGTTGTTGCATAGCTCAGGTCAGAGCATTTTTCAAAGTTTAATAAAAAAAAAAAAATCAATCCAATAATAAGCGTAGATGAAATACTTGTAAGTAAAAGGGAAGAGAGGGTACAAACGATATAATTGTGGAGGTTTAAACCAAATCAATTATATACATCCTCCATTACAAAGCTCTCCATCACGACCTTTTTATTATATTTATTGACTTATTGTTCAATCCAAACCTTATAACGCTTCTAGCAACTTACAAACAATGAGCATCAATCTTTATACAATATTGAGCTTTCAATGGTCCTCAATGTGACACAAGTTTGAATAATGATTCTACAATGAAGATTCTCTCTTAATAAATGATACGAATGAATTAAGTACTAAGAGAGAATAACAATTCAATGAATAACAATAAATGATAGCTCAAATATTTGATGAGAAAACTTTAAAATTTGATTCGATCAATCAAAATTTTTCAGTATGAATAAGTAGATGAAGATGTGAGCACAAATGATTTTTGCTCAAATATTTCTCCCTTTAATGCACTTAAAAGCTCCTACAATGAATGAAAAAGGTGAGGTAATTTATAGAGTTAAAAAGGCAAAAGTTGCTGGGAGATCAGACAAGTCCGAACGTTTATCACATGTTCGGATGCAAGAGGACGTTAGACATCAGAACGTTCAAAAAATTAGACTGTTACACTTTTCGGAAGTCCACCTTCACCGAATTTCTTTTGATCGGACTTAAATGGATTGAAAATGTAGACTTTTGGAAGGCGATATCCAATCATTTTTCAAGGTAAGTGATATCTTAAAATACGATCTAAGCTCTAGTATCACTTTGAAAATTAATTTTGCCTTTGATCAAAACATCTTATGCAAGTGATAATCAAAATAATTTTTGTGCATAAAATTATTTTTAGAGCTTTAATCAATCATTGGCAAAGATTGAAGCATGAATACTTCTACAAATGAATAAGAGCATCTAGTTTATGACCATTCTTTGACGTTGGGCTTTTAAGCTCTTGTCTTGAAAGATATGACTTGAATGCTTGACTTCAATCTTAGCCTTCATTGGGAGTCCAATTTGAAATATGATAGTTTTGATAAAGATCTTTTGGCAACGATCCTTCAATTTTAACATTGAATGCTTTGAAAACTATAATCACTTAAATTCAATCGTTAGAAATGAGACTAGCTTGTTTGCTATGATTAAAACTATAAGGATAAAGTTAACTATGGGTCAACAATTCTTTATATAATGAATGTTCATAACCTACGAGACATTTATCTTCAAAAAAATATTCTTATATGTATGAGACTTATGAAGAGCATGTTACTGTAGTCATCAAATATATATTCTTCAACTTAGTTATAATTATTTGCACGTTTGCTATTTTATCTCATTGCAATTATTACAAAAATAGGTTTTTAAGGAGACAGTTATTGTAAATACTCATCAAAGGGGAGTATTTTAAAACTATGAGATAATTATTAATATCTATTTAGTCTTTTTAGAATACTTAGATAAATCTCACTTACTTTAGAAGAGCGTATCATATTTAGATTGTAACTCTATATATAGAGCTCATTGTTATAATAAAATTACACACTCAAGTTTTGACTCTCTCTATTACTTCTCTTATATTTTTATCTTGTTCTTAGTTTTCTAATAGCTATATAATTTTATTTCATATTTGGCTCATTAATTGAAATCAAACTTTATTTTCAAATTCAATAGAAAATGCTTAGAATTAGGGATCATCATTTTGTTGCTCAAAATATCAAAAATGAAAACAATGACTACACAAGTTAATGAAATAAATAAGGGGTTGTGAGCAAGAGGTACAGTCTCATCACATGATGGGGCCCATCAAGGGGTTCCCTCACTGTAAACTTGTACAGCACTAAGTGTACACATAATTTTCCATAAATAAGATAATTGAGAAAAAAAAATCTCTTTAAACAAAATCCTCTTCGATTAGTGAATGTCGATATCTAAACTACATTGACAAATCAATCGACGTGACCTTAATGCGAATGGAATGTAAGAATCAAATATGGGTAGTCTTTGTTTATAATCCTCAACGTGTTCATTCCAAAATGAATAATTTAATAAACGTATTTTATTTTATTTTCACTATTCCTTCGCCAAAATCCTAAACCTAATGGTCCCAAAAGTTGAAGCCTAAAGAGATAAGGGAGATCAATATTTTGTGCGGTGGAAAATTGTGAAAAGAGGTCTTAGGGCGGCTACCTTTTCATTTTGTTTTTTTGCCAGAAATTGCTTGCATTTCATAATAATTTAATTTAGTACGGATTCTATAAACATTGAAAACTCCACTGGGCCCCACCTCCAAGGCGCTAACGCGTTGTCAGAAACACACAGCTAACAAAAAGTCATATTAGAATATCATTTAAATAGGCAGTTAGATAAGTATCAGAGTGGACACCACGGACATCTTCAGCTCATCTCAGTTCATGTTTGTTTTCATTCTTTTCCCATTAAAATAAAAAATACGATCGTTATCCATCACATCAAATCATCAAATTTGAATTTCTATATTTTGTGTGGAATCCATAAAAACTATATTTTTTATTCTCATTCTTATTAAAATGGGAAATAAATAGGGCCTAGAAAAGCTTTTTACCTAATTTAGCCCCCGTTTAACTCTCATTTTGAAAAATAAATGATTAAAAAAGAAGGAAAAATTTTTGATTTACGTGTAATTTTTTATGGAAGATTGTGTGGTTGAAAATAGGAGAGAAAAATAAAATATAATGTAATGAAAATTAATGGAGCCAAACGGAACTTAGATTATCTAATTTTGTCTATAGGATGACTTTGACTTGTAACAGATGTTGAGTCCACTAAAGCACATCTATAGCAATCATCCATTTTGAAGATGACCCAACTTGCACCTTGATTTAGTCAATGTTTTAATGAATCAACACTTACCATGGGTTAGAAATTGTGGATATAGAGATCAATTGAGCGCCCCCTCTCAGAAGTTGATTTTAAAGGTGAGTTATATTCAATATGATGGTTAAAGTTAGCGTTAAAGCATGCTTTGTTGCTGATGGGGTAACCTATAGACTACTACCAGTAGAAAATTGGTTTATTGAAGTTACTTAGCTGGAAATATAGGCTATCGTTCGCGTTCGCATTCGCTTTGAAAAGAGAAGCTGAATATAATGACCATAATTCTATCCTATATAGTTTGCATGTGTGTTTATAACTAATTGAGCACCATTCCTTACAAGCCAATTTTAGGGTTGCTTAATTATATATTTGAATTATCTATTTCAAGTTTAATATTCAAGCTTTGTTAAGAATGTATTTGACTTGAATATAATGATTAATGGAACTAAATGATATTAAAGTTAAATAATTAGATATAATTGATAAACGTATTTGAATTCATAATTGTTGTTACACGCCGTATGAGTTTGAGCCACCTTTGACTTGATCAAAGAAGTCTACATTTCAAGGGATTTAGACATTAAGTCGGCGCCTTGAGCCAGTACCCAATAAATAGAGGTCAGAGTCAAATTATGAAAGACGTAACAAGGAACATCATTATGACATAACATCAGAAATACTCTCTTTGACGGTATTAACTTCCAAACCGACCAATTAAGCCGGTGACAAAAAAGAAGGTCACAGATCCCACACTCGAGTGTCACCATGATCTTGCCACGACCGACCTTACCGACTAATCGAATTTCATCAATAGACGGTCGCACAAATTCCTGTGTCAAAACAATATATTTTAACATGATTAGGATGATTTGTTTCATTTCACTTGCCTATAGAAAGGGATAAAATGTGGATGGAAAGAGATACTGATTTCGAACTGATATTTTTCAGTGCAATTACAAGTAAAGCATCACAATAATCTTATCTAATTCAAACCCTAAAAGTTGATCAAAGAATATCACATCATTTTTGACATCAACAATAATAAAAACTATACATATATAGTGGGTTTTTGTTTGATGCATTGAATTAATCAGCTGTCACTAATTCAAAATCAAAATTCTCATAAAGAAATCCTTAGCGGACGAGCTTAGAGCTCTTCTGTATCGGATGGTGACTGGCACTGGCACAGAGCGTGTGACATCTAGCACACTTCTGGCAAATCGTAGTTCTTTCAAAAACCACCAAAGCCTACGTTAGATTCTTTCGACTTTTTACCAACTTGACAAAAATTCCAAACTACTTTAATCGTCTGTCTGTCTGATCCATGAATTTGATCGAGCAAACCAAGCAAAAGCTAGCGAACTACAACTTGTGACAATATGGTCATAGAAGATCTACGAAGACACGAATTGTTAGAAAATTTATCAAATCGGGCCCTAACGTTTTCAATAAAGTCACTTAGCCATTTTTCAAACTGTCTAATCAGACATCGACACGTGTCCCACCTGTTATTGAACTTGTATGTGTAACATAATTGTAACATTTTAGGAGCCTTGTATCATCTCTTGCAACACTAAAATCTTGTCTTCTAACAAAAATAAATAATAAATCAATCAATAAGTCAATCACGGACGGGATACGTGTCGACGTTTGATTAGACAGTTTGAAAAATGGCTAATCAATAAGTCAATGAATATCGAAGCAAAATAAGATAAAAAAAACTTTTGTGAAACCACTTTTCATTAGTATAAAATACCAGAATACATAAACTTGGATTCAACAAAGCGACAAATTTATCTTGGAATTCCTTCCTTATCTCTTGAACGTCAAGGAATACATAAAACCATTTATCTTGGAATTCCTTCCTCATCTCTTGAACGTTAAGGAATACATAAAACCATCTCCCCAAAAAAAAGAAAAAGAAAAAAAAATTCTTTCTTGGCTACAATATTTGTAACTCTTGAAGCAATACATGATCAGTCGTCATTCATTCTTCCAAATCAAATGTTACGTGTCTCTTGAACCATCTAAACGTATAAAATATGAATTAAGAATCTGAAAGAATCATTCAACCTAGCAAACGATGATCCAGGATTAAGCCACAACCTGTTCTTGCTCTAGATACAATTGATCGACCCAATGCGGCACCGTATCATGAACCCCTCCATGATTTTGGTCTGGACTATATCGCCTGGGACTAGCAGAGGGCACATCTTTTACCAATGAATTCACCCAGGAGACGTCCGGTTCATTCACATTCAACTGAGTCATTGCAGAGGCGTCGCTGCGAAAACCAAAAGATGATGATTTTCGAAGCTTGTTCACCTCGTCACCATTGAAGCCCCATTCTAATTTCCCATCTGGAGAGCCCCACTCCGATAGTTTGGATGACATGGCAGTTGGGGAATTAGCTGCACCTTGAAGGCTAGACCTATGGCTAACCCCATTACGGTCAATAAAGCTCTGGCTGCGCTTCGCAAAAGCAGATGACCTTGAGTTCATGACGGAATCGAACCCAAAAGTGGAGAGCTTCCTCGCTGGAGAGGATGGGAGATTGGAAGGGTAGCTTGCTCGGAGTTGGTTCATGTTTTGGCGATGCTGAAGGCTGGTCGGAGATTGCAACTGCGAGGTGGTGGCATTATTAACATTAGGCGAGTGGCACTGCAATAGAGAAACTAAAGAAGGGTCAAGAGATCCGAAAATATCATCAAGATTAGTAGGCTTCAAATCGCCGATTCTGCTATAGGGGGAAGAGAGGCTGGCCATCTCATCCACCAACTGCTGCCTCTGTCGGTGTTGGGTGCGAATTTTTTCCAATCCAAGCAAATCCATATCCAATTCCATATCTCTTGCACTCAAGGTTGTCTTCAGCCGGCTACCTCCCAGCTGCACTGAAGGCAGTGAAAGGTTCACCTTGTTCTGCCACGGGCCACCACCCATGGGAGATGAACAGGTAACCGAAGGAGACATTGGAGGCGTCGAAGTATTTGGCAGCATCAACGAAGATGAACCAAGAGACAACGGGCTCAATGTTGTCAAGTCCATTGAATTGGCTGAAACAGACTTCGGGGAAGGCATAGCTGAACCTGTAGAAGCATACAATGGACGCAACTCCTCAGGCCTATGTGCGAAAAAACATACTTTTCTTGAGCATCCAGCCTCATCCTTACAAAGCCGGGTTCTATACTGTGCGGGATGAAGCCAGGACTCAAAAACACCATGCGCATATTCACAATAATCACCCTTAGCACAAGTTCCCTTCTTGAATTCAGGACAAGGCACACAAGTGTAGTGATACTTCCTTGGATCACGCCTCCTTGCATTCTCACCGGGATGGACGAAAGGGCACTCAGTCCAGTCATGAGAATAAGCCCTTGAACAAGGCTTCACCTTAAAACTATACATCCTGAACTCATCAGTTCCATATAAACCATTGTTTATGTCTGGCAAAGATATATCAATGGGATATTCCTTTCTCTCGGCTGTGGGGCTTATGTCCTCATCATCACCAGCCTCACCGTTTAAGCCGTTCAACAGCATCTCCAAAGTTTTCCTCTTCGAATTGCTGGAGGACTTTATACAAGGAGCAATCAGATAACCAGGTTTCTTCCCATTGGCATCAACAGCACTGAAATTGGCAGAGGCGTCAATCAGGATTTTAACAACCTCTACCGATGACCAGGATCCGCTGGCAGCAGCACAATGGAGAGCAGTAGCTCCATCTGAGCTACATGATCTATTGACATCAACCTTTCCAGTTCCAATAATATACTTCAAAACCTCAGTGTTTCCATACAAGGAAGCAATCATAAGAGGGGTCCTCTTTTCAAACCCCATCTTTTTTGAGCCAAAGCTTCTGCCATACCAAAAGCTCACCTCGTCAATATCACAACCCCTCTCTTCTACTTCACATATAAAACCACCCAGATCGTCTGTGGCTGCCAACTCAAGCAACTTCGAGCAACTTCTAAAGAAAACCCTTCCTTTATTATCTTGAAATTCAGCCTCCATCTCCAAATCAAAAGGGCAAATTTCGCTCTTTGAACCGCTGCACATGAACCCTGAAAGATAACAAAAAATTAGATAAAATTAGTACTCTCGCGTGAATCACAAACTTCAAGATCTAACAAATCCATGATTCATGTAAGATGGGTACTCTTTGAACAAGCCTCTAAACGTTCAAACAAGAAAACTAAACACAACCCACATCATAAAATTCAATATTTGACACAGATAAACGTCAAGGAACCAACTAAAAATAAATTTAATGAAGATGAAGATGAAGTATTGAATCTAAGAAAACATACCTTTCTTTGGGTGAAAATTTTCTTCAAAAATATCGAATTCAGAGACAGCTTCAATTCAAGTTGGGGTGAGATAATAATAACGGAGTTGTGGGTTTGTGAATGGCGGAGTCTTTGAGGCGTGTATATATAGTTCAAAAATTGTAAGCACTGAGAGGAAGGGAGGAGGAAAGTGTGAATCTTCTTCTTGATTCTTTCTTTAAGGTTTTTTTTGAAAAATAAAAATAAAAATAAATGAAACCTTACCCATTTTGGTCAAAGTCAAATCTTCAAAGAGGGTCCACACTTACTGGCTCTATCTCAATTTCCCTCCCACCTAAAATGCAAATGCAAATGTAAATGTAAATGTAGGTGGAAATTCAAATGAAATGCAAATGATAAAGACGGTCCCACATAATAAGTTCATAGCATCATATCTGATTGTCATAACGGGTTGCTGGTGTCACGTGTGGGGTTCGCACTGTGGTGGAATCTTGAAAAAGCCTGCCGGCCGCGCCTGACTCTCTTTTTGATCCTTTTTCATTTTGAATTTGAAGGTTGTCTTTTGTTGATAAATTTACTTTTTTGGTGTAAAGTATAAAAGTTATTATTATTATTTTTTTTTTTGAAAATGATATTTTAGATAATCAATTGATTATTTGAACGTGGAATTGCAATTCTTTCTTAATTTTGTAATTTTCAAAGCATGAATCGTTCATGTTTGCAAATTTTGATGGTGACAATTTAGTTCGACAAGTGTAAACGATTCGGAAATTTATGGCTCCATCTCGATATCAAGTGAATATTTATTATTATCGATGTCACTCATTACTTGAATCACAACACCTACTTTTTCTTAAAAAAATAAATGACTACGCTCTCAATAATTAAATTCTTATTTTGAACAATTCTTACTTAAGATGATGAATTTTTTTTAATAATTTTATGTTGTTGATTTGAGAACGGGTCTATAAAAGTATTAAAATGGTTTATATTTTGGATTGAGCATGCTCACAAAACACAAAGACATGATTACAAAATTTCAACCCTATATATATATATATATATATATATATATATATATATATGCACGTACGTATATGTATATGTATATATGTAGTCCTGTATTGACATTCTATAAGCGTATTCCACACCTATTTTGTAGAAGAAAAACCGACACATTCATTATTAGCAAATGGTGAAAATTGATAAAAGTCAAATTCTAATAACTGAATTCAAATGTTTGAAATCATCTTTGAGATACAGAGGTAGATTTGAGTAGAGAAATGGTGGATGGGGATCATGAGGAAGATGGTTCGGAGCGGTGGAAGAATATGTGACTTTTCTGGGTTTCATTTCGTTTTGGCACCTTTTCGTGTGGCAATGTTTCATGTCTATAAATAAGTGATTAATGGACATTGAAAAATAATCACAAGTATGTGAAAAACATATAAACAGATCCACACGAAAGAATTAATCTTTCTTCCCTCCATATTCATGTTCTTCAAGTGTTCTTCGAGATTCGGGTGGAAAAATCATTTGTGCTTTTGTGATTTTCTACAACAAGGCTTGATCAATCCTACAAACTATTTGCCATAAAACCTTTTAAGCACCAAATTTGTATATGAGAAGGGGCAAATATCGTTTGAGGACAACGAATCATTTTTGTGTTTGAGCCTTCCATATTGGTTTGTTTCATTGTTAATTTCCATCTTCTTGAATTTCTATTTCTTAATTTTCATCTCCATTTTCCCCGATGGCATAAATTTCCAACAATCTCAAATGATATTGGCGATGGAGAATGAAACCACTTTGGCGACGATCAAGTTGATGATTCAAGATCTTGTTTTGGATTGGTTGGTGTGACAAATTCTGTCAAAGAAATCTGGAACATTTGGAAAGAAAGGTTTCCGATTGAAGATTGAAAAGATTGAATCTGGTTTGCCGTCAATGGAAAAATCTGCAGATAAGTGCTATCTAATTTATTTAATTATGGTTGAAATGGCCAAAAATACATGGCTGCCTATGCGTGTTTTTCCATAATTAGTCAAGGACCATGAATTTGAACCTTTTCAGTATGCATAATTTACGTGGATATTGATAAAATGGATTTAATATCATACATCATCATGCACCAGTATTTTGTTCTCAAATCCAGTTTTGACATACGTTACTGGAAGAAGACAAAACTCAGTAAATGGATAGTAATTTATATGATGCATACTTAATGATCAAATGATAGATGCTGATGGAAAATAATATATATATTTAAATGCATACATTGCTGCAATGTGAACCGGTGAATTTATTCGTGACTTTTGGCCATACATTGAATTTTCTGGTTCGTGGAATTTTCTTTGTATAACCGTCAGTAGCATTTCATTAAAATTGAAATGATTCATTTATGAACAGTTATATATGAAAGAGTGCGATGCTTAAAGGTAAACATGTATCTTATTATCCAATATGACATAATGCTATCTTGTGAAAGTGATAAGTTTTAAAAAGATTGGAGAAGTTGCAATTTTTGTGAATTAAGAAAAAATTTATTTTTTTTATTCATTGAATATGACTTCAATTATGGAACCAATTGATTTGGTTTAAACTTGGAAAAGCATTGTTGGTCTATGAGATAACCTTGGTAAAATTGTGTGATCACAATTAAGATGGTCGATTTGAAGTAAGTTGTGACTCAACGACCACTATCTAAAAAAATACTTAAACTTACATAGATGATAAATGAATCGAACTGTGAAAGAGTTGATGAAATATAAGTTCAATTACAATCCCAAATGTGGGGGTTGACATAGTGAGGAACTCTAAGTTCGAGTATAACTTGAAATGTGGAGATTAACTTTAAATGCTTGTGTTCCTATATGAGAAGTTCAATATTTATGAATGCAATATTACATGATTGCATATAAATTCCTAAGTGAGGAATTGTGGGGGTAACTTAATTTAAAAGTTACCATATCATTTACATATTAATCATAGAAAGATATCTATGAAGGAAGAAAAGGTAGAAAAGTCCTTATGATTATAATTATAAGGATGAGATACATTATCATTAAATTTAAGTGGATAATTTGGGTGAAAGCCAATCACGGCGCTTTCAAAACCAATGTGAATATTTAAGAGTATTCATAAGTTGAAGATCACTGTAATATTTCAATAATGAAATATGAATACCCAAGTATGAGATCCACAATAAAATTGATTGAGAAGTGTAATGATTTGATAAAAATGTTCAAATCATGTTTGGATATAAATAAAGCTTTAAATAAAGCAAGTGAGAAGCATATGGCCTCACAAAAAAAAATTTCTTGGTGGTGACAAATTGTATCTATCAAATGAATTGATCGTTGGCTAGCTATACTTTGATAAGATATTAAGTCACATCAAATGAAAAGTAAAGACATATAAGTCTTAAAGGTGACGTCACAAGGAAATTATCAAAGATGGAATAATTTTCGAAGAGAATTTAGCGAATCCTTTAACTAGACCACTAAATAAAACTTTAGTGGCATATATTTCGAGTAGGATGGGGTTGAAACTCCTAAACTATAAAAGTCCACCAATGACGGCAACCCTACCCATCGCTTACTTAAAGGGGTAATCCATGGGTTCAAAGGGTAACAAACAAGTCATTCGATATGTGGGATGGTTTCAGCATTATTAAAATCCGCAATAACCCTATCCTAAGTAAAATAATGCTGGTTGTTACTGAAGTGAGAGTTGAGCATTAAAGCTCTTAATGAAGTTCAGTGCTAAAATACAAGTACCTCTAAAAGTAACAAAGGTACTGGAAGAACTTTACCTAAACAAATTTCGAGGTGGTGCCGCCTCAATAGAGAGTTGAAGTTTTTCTCTTAAAAGTTTGTTGAATAGGATGAGCGCAAGGCCATATTAGCGCTAAGCGAGTTGAGGAATTTGAGAACACGTAATGCTCGTGTGTGTATTCTTACCGGTATTGTCACATGGAACAAATGGTTCAAAGTTTCACGCTATCTTTGATTTCGACTTTACTTTGTTTGAATTACACTATGGTTAGATTCAAATCGAAAGATATCTAATCCTTATACATGAGTATTGTTTACTTTGAATATGAGAGTTTATTGAATTTTGAACAAGTGGGGGATTGATGGAAAATATTGTTCACAATCAATAAACGGTGTATAGGATGAAAACGGAATTGAAATCGAAATGAAAACGGACCAAAATGAAAACAGAATTGAAAATTGGAAAGGGCCAAAATTTGGCCCATGCGACCGCATGGGCAAATATCCATGCGGTTGCACGGTGATGAACCGAGGCCACATGGCCTCGGACTGGATAAACCATGCGGCCACATGGGTTAAAACCATGCGGCTGCATGGTTGTAAATTAGGGACCGTTGGACAATTTTTTGGTTTGAATTTTGGCGGCTTTTCATTTCGTTTTGGCACCTTTTCGTGTGACAATGTTTCATGTCTATAAATAAGTGATTAATGGACATTGAAAAATAATCACAAGTATGTGAAAAACATATAAACAGATCCACACGAAAGAATTAATCTTTCTTCCCTCCATACTCATGTTCTTCAAGTGTTCTTCAAGATTCGGGTGGAAAAAGCATTTGTGCTTTTGTGATTTTCTACAACAAGGCTTGATCAATCCTACGAACTATTTGCCATATAACCTTTTAAGCACCAAATTTGTATACGAGAAGGGGCAAATATCGTTTGAGGACAACGAATCATTTTCATGTTTGAGCCTTCCATATTGGTTTGTTTCCTTATTAATTCCCATCTTCTTGAATTTCTATTTCTTAATTTTCATCTCCGTTTTCCCCGATGGCATAAATTTCCAACAGGAATTTGGTATTTTTATTTAAGATAAAAAAAAAAGATGGATAAAGATGGAAATGTTGTAGTGGTGCATTGTAGGCAACTAAATTTGTGACTACTGTGTTATTTATGATCAGATTACTGTTTGTGATCAGACATATGTTATTTGTGACTAAGACTGACTAAATTTGTCTTCAATGTGATTGTTTGTGATCTAGTCTAATTTGTGACTGCATGTAATTAAGTCTCTGTTAATTTGGCCACATACATTTACAGTTATGACAAATCTAATAATAGATAGACACAATGAAAATTGACTTAGTCACAATCGGTTACAATTAACACAAACAAACTTAGTCACAAC